ACTAGGTGTTGTCCTTATAATAAGAGAAAAAAGGGCTCTTGAAATCTAATTGGTCTATTTTTGGATCAATCAAATGGCAGGACCCCTACATATGCCCATCAATCGATAGAGCATCCTCGATAACCCTATGATTGGCTCGAACATGACTAGGTGTTGTCCTTATAATAAGAGAAAAAAGGGCTTCTGAAATCTAATTGGTCTATTTTTGGATCAATCAAATGGCAGGATCCTATTTTTCAGTGATGGGGTGAGTGGGGACCCCTACATATGCCCGTCAATTGATAGAGCATCCTCGATAACCCTATGTTCGGCCCGAACATGCCCATCGCTTTCCCTCACAATAAGGAAAAAAAATTTGAACCCCTTCGGGTACCCCAATAATAGGACTCAAGGAGTCAAGGGTACCCCCCAATAGTATAGGACCTGAGGACCTAAGGGTGCCCGTATAATATAGGCCGTGAGGGCCCAAGGATATCCCGCACAGTATGGGACTTGAGGTCCTAAGGGTACCCCCAAAGTATGGGACATAAGGACCCAAGGGAACCCCAATAGTATAGCACTTGAGGGTCTAAGAGTATCCCTATAGTATAGCACTTGAGGGCCTAGGATTATCCCTATAGTATAGCACTTGAGAGCCTAAGGGTACCCCTATAGTATGGTAGTTGAGGACCTAAAGGTACCCTTATAGTATGACAGTTGAGGACATAAGGGTACCCCTATAGTATGGCATGACACAAACACTTGAACTTTAAAGAAAAAGTTAAAGTTAAAGTGGTAAAATTTTTACTTTAATTAAAGTTTAAAGTTTTAAAGTGTTTTACTTTAAACTTTAATTAAAGTTTAAAGTTCTAAAATTTTTCACTTTAATTAAAGTTTAAAGTTTCAAGTGTTTCACTTTAATTAAAGTTTAAAGTTTCAAGTGTTTCACTTTAATTAAAGTTTAAAGTTTAAAGTAAAATACTTTAAACTTTAATTAAAGTTTAAAGTGTTTTTAAAGTTAAAGTGCCACCCCTATACGAAGGTACCACTTGAGACCTAATTTATAAAACTCCAACTATGTCAGAAAAGTACTCTAATTTTTACTATAAAACGTCGAACCAATAGTAATAAAATCTGGATTTACACTGCTCTCAAAAACTTCATTTCAAATGATACTTTACGATTAATAACAAGAATTGTTGTCTCTTTGTTTTATCGTTCAGTCCGTTTCTCTTCTTTAGTCAGAACTGAGCATTCTCCTCCGTATAAAAATATTACCTAACAATAGTAATAACAACTGTTTTCTTCTTGCTTTTTAGATGAACAAATTTCCGCTATATTGTTGCTGCTGGTCGAAAAAAGAAAACAAACAACATAGTAATATATACAAAAATTCAGTTCGATTTTCAACAACAGTTTCTCAAGTGCCAAAGGTTGAAGAAACAAATATTCGTCAAATTCGTTTAACTTCTAACGTAAGAATTTGCTATCATAACATTTTTGTTTGATTGAATTTGTTTTTCCTTTTTTTGCAGGTGGTCAATGTAAATGTAAATGAAATTGATACATCACCGGTTAAAGTATGTAATATCCATTTACTAAGTAAAAAAATCTTTCATCTTGATATTTTCTTTATTTCAGTACGGAGTACAGGAAAGTGGTGGTTTAATGAATGACAATATTTCTCATTCATTTGACTCCACAGCTTCAACAGATGAATCGTCCGATGATAGTGTTCGTTTTGTAAATATTACCGAGCCACACATCATTCGGAGCAACATC